AAAGTTGAATGATGAGACATTGTAACAGAAAGATTTAAACAAAAATTGATCGCTCGTGAGTTTTTCTAGTTCAACCAGGGCTACGGCTTATGGCTTCACAATTACATTTTCTCAATATAACTGCGTATATGTATAATAGACAGCAGACCTGCTCCGTGACGTTCAATAATAATAAAAACAGTTGCTTCTAGAAGGCTTCAAAGCTCTCAATAGACTAGTACATTGCTTAATAACAAAAACACACTGGCAGTAGTTTGTGCTTGCGTACACAGTGTTAGTACAGCCGTTGCTATCAATATAATAATAGTGACGGAGAAGACGAAAGCTGAATAAATGGCCATGTGGATGAGTGGACAGATTACTAAAGGCCATTTCTGATACATTGTTTGGTTACTTTTTCGTCTACGATGAGATTTTTAACCGATCAGGAGTCCGTCAGCATATGCGATCGTTGGTTACAGCGGCCTCTCACTACTGTAATCTCCCGCTCACTGCAGGAGTGATTGTAGGCCTGCCAGACCGTGGTAAATAAGTGCCGCATGATAACAGCAATGGCGACCACAATGGAGCTGTAATCACAAAGTAGCCCGCCATAGTTTGAACGGATGTACACAGAAACACACGCTTTCGTCCACCCACTCATTTAGTTACATACTATATGTTATGTAGCAAATGGAGAGTTGAGCAATGAGAGGATACGGGGTCGGGCCTGTAATGGCTAAATGGAAGAGGAACAAACGACTATATGCTAGTAAGTTTTACAGAACTTCGTCGAACCAATCAAGGCCAATTGAAATTAGAGCGAAAACAGGTGAGGCTGCAAGCTTTTGTCACGGTAACAAATGTGCGTCTATTGAAAATGCAGCCTTTATTAAAGTCATACTACCGGCGGTAACATCAAAAGTGGAAAAATATCGAAGCCCAAGGGCGTCGTACTGGCCGCAATCTCTTGTTGGTCAAACCTTACTTGGGCTACGCGTGTCGGGTCAAAAGGCCGCTGAAGAAAACTAGAGGAAATTTCTCGCCGCTAACCGGAGAGATTGCCTTCGGGACAGTATGCCTGACAGACAATTTCCCAGGTCTTGCAGTTGATTTCTTGATTTGCACCTCAAACGTTCACAATCAATTTTAGGCGTTCCAATTATTCCCATTAAGACCATTACAGGCAGCATTCATGAACTCGTCAACCTGGATTTCGGTACGGTAGTATATTAAATACACCATATTAAGTGTTACTATTACGAAACATTTTTTTTTGTAAACAGGATCGGTACGAGTGCGTTTCCCGCAGCGGAAGAACGAGGAATATGTCTGGACGAATGTAAACTGCTGTATCCACAATATTATTATCGGTACACTCTACTTCGAGCAATACGGCGATCAGGTGGGGTTATTTGTCACTACGACCTGTTTTTAAAAAATGAAATTTTTTTTCTTTAGAGGTTTTTCCGCCATCGATATGTTAGAAGCTGCGGTACTAAACGCACAGGTTGTGTTTTTTCAAATGTTAGCTCTAATAGCTTTCTGATTTTTAGGTGATCACGTGCGAGCAGACGGAGCTCCAGTGTCGAATTAATTATAAGGCTGCAAATGGGCCAACAGACATTCAACTACACAGCATTCTAGGGTAAGTGGCGATCTACATTATTAGCCTATCATTAGCCTGTTATAGGCGAATCCAGCGGACCTTTAAATTCAATAACTTTTGAGCTGCGCGTTGCTGGCAAACGAAATTGGCCTAAGAAACACCCTAGTCGTCTAGAAAGTTGTGAGTGAAGACCAACTGAGTTTAGTCCAGGAAAAATGAGCTCAGAAGAAAGACATCTTTTAGCCTTGAAAGCCGTTCAGTGGCGAAGTTTTTTTTTTCTCGAAGAGCATTGGTCTGCGGGAGTTCATCGAAAATTCGCCTATTCTATATTAAATAGATAGGCCTCAAGCGAATGGTGCGAACGTTTCAAGAATAAGGGAGAAAGTGACGAAGAATAGGAACACATTGGCGCCATGGAGGAAGCCATTTACGAAAGCATCATTGGAGCTTGTTTTGGTTAAAACTGACATTTTACATGCCACCAGTTATGCCAGTACCAGCCAAATACGGAAAATGTGAAAATCGACTCCAAGTCAGTTGAAAATGCATATGGTGTATTCTAGGTGCAACTTGTAGAATCGCAATCAAGACTGCTCGGAACACATGGTTGTTGGTCACACATGAAGCATGTTTCAATATCTCTGGCCAACCGGAGGGAAACCAAGCGAAAGCCTTAAGAGGAATTGAGTTCAGAAGGGGTACCGGGTAAATTTGGACGCATGGTGGTCGTAGTTGGTGCAATCCACACCAAAGGCAGCTACTACGATGAGACACTCGCCGAAAATTAAACCATATATGTCGCTGATTGTCTTAAGTCTTAAGATTCATAGACCGTCGGCACAGTAATCAAACCCACACAATCTGCTTACTTGATGACCTCCATGCAATTACTTTCCGGATCAAGATTTACAAAACCCTTATCCTAGCTCAACTAGCTATTTAATTTCAAGGTTCGATGAATTCGCTTGTAATAGCCTGATGGTACGTCTAATGATAGACGAATTCGCCAAGATAATGTTGCTCACTGTATTGTCGTCGCATTTTTGGAAATTCTGCAGAGGTTTACCAAAAAGAGACTATAGACGGGTTTGTTTTTTAAGGTTCTTCTTTTTAATTCTTAAAACCATTCGTGAAATGAAGAAAAAAATTACATCACTGAGCATGCTTGTTACTCATTACAATTGAAATACCTGTAGGTATATCATAAACAAAGCAGGCCAAAAGGTGGCGAAGATCTCCGGAAGATGGTGCCACGAGGTGTACACGTATTCGATGGCCGCTGAAGGAGGTGAACCATTATGGCAGGTCACCCCTCGGTCGCCACATTCTTCCGACTACTTTAATTTCACTGATATGGCGATGGCTCTCAACGAAATGCCCAAAATTACTGCTCATCGTATGCCGCCAACAGATTCCCGCTACAGACCAGATATCCGCCTACTGGAGCAGGGTGATCTAAGTAAGTTGTTTTCGCCATCGATATGAATGCAAGCATGCTGACAGGGGCTCTTTCAATGTGTACATTTCGAATCTTCGAAATTTTCGAAAAGCATCTTTGTCCTTTAAGAAGTATGCGCATGGCATGTATTTCCAAATGGTGGGCTTAACGTTTCTTTTCTGTATGCGTTTTGTATTGGTGTGTACGTTTCTTTTTTTTTTTTTGTTTTTTTTTTCTATTCGACTTGACCACGTTCTTTGTAGTCGTTAAATGTCTGTTAATTATATTATTATTACATGTTTGTCATATTATTAATATTGTTTTACTATTGTTCTTGTTGATATCTTTGCAGATGGAGCAGCCTCTGAAAAGCAGCGTTTAGAGGAAAAGCAACGGGAAGCCCGGAAAAGGCGTGGGAAGGACGCCGACTGGAAGCCTCTTTGGTTCGAGAAGGTTACAGATACTTATTGGCGTTATGTGGGCGGATATTGGGACCGACCGGCCGATATGCGTTTACCCGACATCTTCTAAAGCTAGCAAGATATTCGATAATAATAATAATAATAATAATAACAATAATTTAGCTATATGTTTGCTGATATGAATATCTGAAATGTTTGACTAGTAAGAAAACTCGTTAGAGCGACGACGATCAAAAGAGAAAACGTCGCTTCGTAATTCTCAACCAACTACAGTTTATCGAAGATACTTTGACATAAGAGTCTCGCACGATACCTAGCGCGCTTTACCTAACAATTAATCGGTCTACTATCTTCACCACTAATACAATCATCGCATCTTTGTCATTGTATCATTTTTCGCCCTATATGCAGATATACGCCTCTCCCAAGTATATTTATTGTGACTGTAATTATCCGCGCCACCGGGGAAAACGTGTCGGAATATTTGTCGCGTATTTAAACATGTGTATTGTACATAATCCTACAAATCCTCTAGAAATAATGTCTGTGATGCTACGAGTAATAATACCATGAGTGCGCATTCGATAATTTCCACTATCGAAATAGATTTACGGCAACGATGGAGAAGACAACGACGGAGAGTGTTGTATTTGTTTATGGTTGTAGAGAAAGTGAGTGTCGTGATGAGTAACAAAGATTTTGTTGAAATGATAATAAAATTCTTAACCCGTGATATTGATTCGTTGGCAGAAAGTTAGTGCGCCTACCGATTTTACGTTATTTTTTATTCATTTGGAACGCAGTAAAAATCTCTGAACTTACTTTACTCAGATATTTTGACTACACCAATAAACAACAAGGTGACAGCTACCTGAAGCCTCAACTCTTTCAAATTTGGATACAACGCATAGATATCACAACAGCATATTTCTGAGATACTTGTCAGAAATGCGCGACAGTATGCAAAACGCTACGTAACTTAAAAGTGAACTAACTGGCCCTAACGCGAACGCTGCAATCCAACATTCGTAACCGCTATCCATTAAAGAGCGACAAATGATCCCCGCTCGAACTTTGCGGGGTCGCGATTTTACGTGTATTGGACGGGGCAAGATGTGTTTTCTGCGTGAGCCACCTTCCGGGGATCTACTGAATAACTGTACGATAGCGATACAAACGTCTATGATGGCACGGGCATGACGAGTGTTTTCTATGCTACAGAAATGAAACAGATTTTAATACGCATAGGCTGTGACGTGAATGTACACATGCCCAAGTTGTTTGCTACGTGCTCAAATTGTTAATGGGGCGCGCGTCTACATCAGGAATATATTTAGTCGAATGAGTAATATTAACAATACCATAGTTCACTCATACAAATACTTACATGCATAGTTTATTTGGAAGAAGACAGAGTATCTATGTATGGCATATAGCTTCAACTAGGACAACACCTCATTGGCTATCTACCGCATGGTGTATAGTCGGTCGCCACCCCATGAAGACTCCTTCCGAATGAGTTTCTACATAAATTAAAACAAACAATGTTAAAGGTATTATGGGTAGTATTTCTGTCATTGTGTAAAAACTAAGCTTCTTTCCCACTCTATCTAGCTCCGCTAACTGGCATTGCACACAAATGTAACAAATCGCACATAAATTAGATCATGCTAGAACATCTTCGATAGGACTAGCCGTCTATAATTAGAAATGGCTGCGCGATGTTTAACTGCGTCTCCGTTATGCACGCTACATGCACTTCTGTGCAATATCGTGCGTAGCCTATATAATAATCAACATCATATACTAACCAATGAAGAAACATACAGGTTGTTATTTTAAGCAAACTGAGATCGACAAACGAATAAAGTGCTAATATGATCACCATATCCGTCACTGGGTGCAGCAAGAGTGATGTCGATATTGTAACTATTAAATCAACAATTGTTTATTGTTTACCGATTATTGCTACGATCTAACTGACTGTATAAAGCGAAGCTGACCCAAGTAGTTGGGAAGGAACTGTAAATCCGTTTCCTCGTCCAAATCTACAGTTCGTTTATTGACTATCGTCGTAGCGACTCAGATTGGATAAACTGGATCCAACTAGTCGGGCAGTTTCCAAACTTCAGTTAATTTATTTATTATTATCCTGCAACGACAGTTGCGGACGTAATTTATAATACAGTTATATATATCCTAAATCACTATATACTGAACTGGTGGTTAAGGAAAAAGACCGCGCACCTTCGCGCAAGTATATCCCTGCATTCGTTTGCTGGTCCAAATGCACCCACGAAAAATGCTAAGGGGCCGAGATAGCTTTTTTTTTTATTTTCCTAACAGTTACTAACAAATTCAAATCGTCGTTGTTGAGACCAGTCAATTTATGTATGCGTCGTCATACTTTCACAAAGGATGAATGCAATATATGTTCAACTGTAAAAGCATCCATTCAGCTATCTATGTATATCGAAAGAAAATTCAATATATATATATACATATATATATATATGTATGTATGAATAGTTACGTCCAAGTATTAATTTTCGTGAAGTTAAAGTTTGTAAATTAACATATGTTCGTTTTGCGCAGTTTTCCCAAAAGCTGTGTCAAATTTTCTGTGTGTCTGGTAGTTTCATTGTATGAGAGCTGCAACTTGCTCTGCCGAAGGTAAAAGCAAACGTCTTGATTTAAGTCCATTCGTTCAGACGCATTGCGGTATAGGGCTAATATGATGATGCGACGTTTACATAGGCTTTTCAGTCAATGTTATTGATACACGAGATTGAAGTTCTAAGATTTTTTTGCGCTTCAGCAACCATAATTCACTAATTAAATCGGACAACACTTCGATTCCGTAGATCTGTAACAGAATAGCTAATTCTGTTATATAACCCTATATACTGTTTTGCCAGCAACGACGAGCTAGTTAGTACTTATCGTACCCTTGATAACCAATCGAACATTTAATTGTTGAGCTACACAGAATGAGTGGACACGGATTATCCCAAGCTAAAGGTGCACAATCGAAACGTGCGTGTATTACCTATGGATCTCTAAGAGGAACCAAAATCGCAGGCATAAACCACACACATATTATACAAGCCTGGTAGAGAAAAGTGGAACGGAAAGCTCACCACAAATTTTATGGACATTATTAACACAAAATATATACGTCTGAAAAGACGTACAATCACAATAATAGTAATTATACTAGTAACATAAATTAAGATACCGAATATACAATATATAGAAAAGAAAGTATATATAATATACACAAAATAAAAGGGGAAGTGATCGCAAATAAGAAGCGAAATCTATTCGTTGGTGAACGTAGTCCTGCCCCGAATGATCTATATTAAAGACACTTTTATAAAAACCGAAAAATTAGTTCAAGATATAAACGCGAGATCAGTAACAAAATAATTAGTGTGGGAGATTTATTTTTCTATATTATGATTAAGATATGTTATGGTTGATATAAAGTCTAATAGGATATTAGACGGTGTGACTTCATTTGGATGTCCGGACATTCTCCGTGTGCCAATTGTGTGCATTGGATATGTTGAAACAAGGAAGCGAACGAATAATTCACGTTTTTCAATTTAAATG